AGCCAATTTTATTTTTTGACGGTGCAAAACGTTTCGTGGACATCGTGGACATACAGTACTGCACTTCAGAGTCACACTGCTAGCGATCGATGCAGCGATTCTGTACTGTACAGGAGAGACGTCACGGAGGAGATCGTCTGCAGCGATCAGGACGCAGGACACAATGTGACGTAAAAAAAAAATAAGCATGCAAACTTGCACTAAAAAATCAGTGAAACAGCGAGGTGAAAGATGAACCGCGTTATAGCGAAGGACCACTGTAATTTTTAAGGTAAGTCACAACATACCCTTCATACATACTAATGTATAGAAACCGTTACCAGCAATCATTCATTTTTTGTGTGGCTTTTTTCACGGTTTGTTAACATGCTGTGTAGGTGTGTACTTGACTAGCTGATCTCGACATAATGGGGGAAACATCTGGTTTGACTATTCTTCACCTGTAGTTTGAATGCTGAACATTTGCCTGTTTAGATCATAAGACCAGTCACTATACAGAGATGTGCTTCTGAATGTGGACGATGTGTCTTCTGCTGCAGTAATGCAGTTCTGCTTGTGTTGAGTGATGTAAACAACTGATTGATCTAAACTCTTTAAACGTCAAAATTGATCATTAGATTTTTTATGACACAACAGTGGCGAGTGTTCCCACCTTCTGCTCTTTGTAACTTAACGCGATCTTTCCGTTTTCGAGTTTTGGACATGATTTTGGAGTATATGTTCGCAGTAGCGATTGACCGCAAAGTAAAGCTACCGGAAATGTACAACCCCACATCCGGTCTCAAACCAGGAAGTTAGCGTTTTCTCGTGCACAGGGTCAATTTCATAGCCAAAATAAACACGTTTACAGAGAAAGGTTTGGCTATCTACAGACAGTTTGATCCTTCATAACTACATGTGGGGAATTTTTACTTAACATAGTTGTTTGAAAAATTAAAATGTGGACTTAGCTGCTAGCTATTTCGCGTGTTCTAATTCCTGGAGATAAAATACTGCTGTTTTGTCAAATCATAAATAAAATGAATTGCTCTCAATTTAAAAATGTTTCAGTTTTTGTTGTTTTTTTATTTTTGAAAAAACCATAATCTTTTCATCTAAACCAGGGGTGTGAAAATCATTTTACATCCTGGGCCACATACAGACCTGTTTCCTCTTCATGTGGCAAACCACTAAAACTGCTGCTTAAAGATTTATGAAAAACACACGCCCAGTTAAAGTACATAAAGCAGTTTAAGAACACATCAAACACTGCTGAGTTTTTCTACCATATAAAAAATGTTGCTGCAGTAAATCAAAGAAACCTGTTTGTGAAGCTCACCCTAAGAACAGACTGTGGGGACTGATTCTGTTCTAGAGTCAACCTCATGTGGACGATACAGGAACTGCATGTGTTTCTCCAGTGTTTGATTTCTCATCTTGGTCAGAAATCACATGTATCCTCGCTGACTTGTTTTTGTTAGGTTTTTTTTTCTGTCATTCCAGGAGGGCTGAGGACATGTAGGAGCACAAAAAGAAGGTTGAACTGTTTTTCTGTTTTTATCCATCAAATCCTTTTGTTATGCACAGTAAGTACAGCCAAGCAATTTGAGATTTCAGTGAGTTTTTTTTTTTTTTTCAACTAACAAGTCATCTGAAATGTGAAAGAGTGCCTGACTAAACTGCTGAACTTAAAGCGATTCATGCCTCTGGCTGTTACTAAAGCATGTAGCTCATTTAAACAAAAGAATCTGTACATGCAGAAAGAGTAGAAGTACCTCAGAAATACAGCTAAGTGCAATTGCTGTGTAAATGTATACATTGCACCAGGGCCGGCCCGTGGCATAGGCCGTATAGGCAAATGCTAAGGGCGCCGTCCATCAGGGGGCGCCACGCCAGTGCCACAAATGTTGAAAAGAAAAAAAAAAAAAGTTAGTACTATTATTTCTAAATACAAAAAATAATCCCACGTTAATTAAAATGCAAAGTAAAGCTTATTTAATAGAAATATTATTTGTTACAACATTACACTACACTGCTGATGTAGGGGGTGCCACCTAAAATCTTGCCTAGGGCGCCAGATTGGTTAGGGCCGTTTCTGCATTGCACTCCTAATGTGCGACAGTTCTGGTTGAAACAAATTACAATAAAAATAAAATACATTTAGAGTGTATATGATACATATATTCTGAAATCTCTTGGTAAGTAAGGTACAAAAAAAAGAAGCTTAAGTTTGTTCTCTTGGTCTCATGCAATAGTCTTGATATACTCCCACATTGTCTTGTACCCATAGATTGGTGTATGCTTTTCGTCTGAATGTAATATAATTCCTTCCCTTCATAAACAGTCGGAAATGTAGGTGTCCTGCAGAACTAGTCAAAATGTGCAAAAATACTTCAAACTGTGGAACAAGGAATAAAATGGAACAAAAATGTAGCGCTTTCTCACATGAAGAGGGACACTTAGCCCCCCAAGTGAGAGCGCACCCTCATCACTAATGCTGCACTGGCTCCCTCTAGTGTTCATTACTCATTAAGACAACATCAGTGCAGGAGGTCACATGTTTTTCATGGCGCTTCACTGTCAGTTTGAGCTGTTTCTTTACAACTTTTCAAGTTTCATTGGTTTACAGCATTGAATCAAAGGTTATTTCAGGGTTTTTATGAAAACAAATCAACAGAAGAGACCTGTCAGCAGCTACATGAAAGAAAGATGCTTAGTGGAGAGCAAAGCTCTCAGTCATCACTAGTGATGGGAGTGTTTATGTGTTTGGTCACATGACTGCATCACATGACATGACTTCGCTGTCCACACTGCGATGCGTTTTCGAGAGCGTTATGAAAATACTGTGTTTTCCTTTGGGGAAAACACCGTGTCAGTGTGGACGGGAGGCCAAAATGGAGAACAAACGATGCATTTTCAAACAAAAACACATTAGTGTGGACGTAGCCTCAGTCAGAGATGGCGAAAGATGGTGATATTCATGGTAAGTGTAAGTGTTAGGTCTGAGCTTGCAGGCCCCGCTGGTTCAGAGACTTATCACCCGTGAACAAAGCAAGACAAACAGAGTTCAACCGGTTTTTAACTTGCACGCAAGGGAAGCCTGGTTGGAATCAGGCCCTTGGAGCTGAAAGTTCCTCCACCTGTTCCCAGCCAACCCCAAAGAACCAGTATTCCCTGCAGCCTTTATTCAGTGAACACACAAGCACCACCCATATGGCCATAAAAGGTTAAAACACTGCGTGTGCGACACGTGCGAGCACGTGTGTCTCTGTGTGTGACTTCCTGGTTACAACCGTTTTAACAACATCCCTGGTCATAAAAAGGGTCATCTCCCGCCACCCCTGTATACGGTTTAACCCCTTTAACGGTCCACCATATACAGGCGAGCTCCTAAACGGCAGGGAGTGAACATCCCTTACTAGATAAGAAAACCAGAACCTTCAGATGGAATGTGCCTGCAGTTAAACTCTTTAGCTATAACCTTCCCCACAACCCTACATGTGGGGGAGGAGAACAGAAGAATATCTAAACATGCATTTTAAGGCAAGGTGTAAGGAGTGTAAAATCTTTCACAATCAGCTGTTTATCTTGTTGAAATCAGTCTGATAGAAACACAACGAGCAGCAGCACAGCTCAGCTAATCCCACTCTGTAACTCTGTACATAAAATCTATTGGAGCTTGTGATGTAGATTATTTTGGTTCTTTTTTGAGTCTTTGAGTCAATACACCTACTGAATCTCATGTTACCCCTGAATGTGATCACTTCTCTTTTAGGTGTGAGGGAAAGTTACCATTTAAAAAAAAATCATTTGCTTGAGTTTACTACATGCATTAGAATAAGTTTAAATAAAGTTTGCATTTCCTTTTATTAATATGTTTTTATTGTTATACAGTATTAAAATGACACAAGGTTCAGTAAACTTGACAACAAAACCAAACAAAAAAAACCTCCAACTGGTAGAAATGTTCTCTGAAGCGACGTTTTACTTCTGATTTTGCACATAAACAAGTTGAAGAATTGTTGTTAATATGGACCTTGTACCGCTTGGCAACATATATGTGCTGATTTGGCCTTCAAAGAGGTACACATGCTTACCATGAAGTCCACTAATTAACCTTAGGGAGAACTTGTAGGAGTTTTACTGTTCTGCTGTTTCTGAGAACATTCGTTTCTTTCTTTCTTTTGCGTTCTTAAAATATGTGGTAAAGGTGGCTCACAATTACCGGAAAGCATGAAGCCAAACTCACTATTAGAAAGCTTGTTTATGACTATAATTATCACTTCTATAGAGATTCATACATGTATGATATATAGTAATCATACCCAGCATCCACCAGGTTAGGGCTGGGCAGTGAGTCTGAGACTTTATTGAAAGGAAACATCTTTTACACTTAAAATTATGCCTGTTTAGTGTGTGACTAAAGCAAAACCCAACCCTAACCCTAGTTGACTCAATGATGAACTGGTGGATGATGGATGAACTATACAGCAGTTAACGATGCCTGAAGTACTCACATAAGTTTTAAATGTGTTCACACATGCAGCAGCTGCTTGGATGTCTTCTGTGGCAACAAAATGTACGTGAACGAATATGAAAGAGGACTGTCTGGTACGTCCTCAGGATGAGTTGCGGTAAAGGTCTCTTCAGGGCTCTGAGGCTGGTATTCATGAAAGCTATCAATTATACATATGCCCTGCTGGATCTGAAGATGTGATTGTGACTGCTGGTCCTCACCCTGCACTCTCAGGTTATATGAAGGGTTAGGAAATACATCATTTCCTGGAAAAGACAGAACGCCTGGCTGAGATGTGAGGCCTGTAGTGGGTAAAGTAAGGGGTGGCTGGAGTTTCTTCAGAAGCTTATTGTAGTAACCTTTGGGAGTCTGAGAGAAGGAAAAAGAAGGCATGTAGTCCTGGCCAACAACAGGCTGTGGTGCACTAAAATAATCATGCAGCTCCGGAACATCCCAGACCTCCCTGTAGTGTCTCTGATCAAAGTGAAGATGACGAACGGTATGTTCATCCTGAAAAATAAAGAAAATGACCTCACATTCACAGGAAAGACATCTGGATTATGATAGTGAAACCAATAAATAATTGATTAGTACAATAGAAGGATGTATAGATGTAGCATATTAGTCAGCCAAACACTCCTTGAATGGCTCCAGATGTGAGTCAGTACAAAGCATTTTAATTTGCTTGTTTACACGAAAAGAAATGAATTTTGTGGTATTAAAAGGAGAAAAAAAGACATTTTACTGATGCAAACATTTTAACTTGAGTTAAAGTTGTGTTTGGTACCGGAAACTAATTGGTTAGGTATTGTTAAGTGCCCCGTCAAAGTTATCCTTTAATGCAGTGGTTCCCAAACTTTTTTTTGTTTTACAAGAAAAATGTTCGCCCCCCTTCTCGCACGTGCACGTGCACACGCACACATCCTCCAACCACAAACACCCATATTTTGCTCCATTGCGGTTTATTTCACACTTCAAACATTTAGTAAACAATTAAGCAAATGCAAGTAATCTCCAATAAATCACAGGTAGTAATGAAATAAACTACTAACTCTTTTACGTTACGTCTGCACCTACACGGGTATTTTTGAAAACGCAGCTGTTTCGTCCACACGTAAACAGCGTTTCGAATCACCGAAAACGGAGATTTTTTAAAACTCAATTTTTCCGTTTACATGTGGACGAGGAATACAGAGTTCATCACACAGATAGAGACAAAATAGGGGAGACCGGGGATAGTTGTAACATTTCTGACATTTGTCTGTAAATTGAAGCTCTTTTAAGGTAGTGGATTCAAAATGTAATGCAAAGTATTTACATGTCTCTGCTATTAAATAGTGCAGCTATTTTCTCTGCAGCACAATTACTCATTGCATGATATGGTCTCAAACACGAAGAGTGAAATGTTACAATTAACCCCATAGTCTGGGTTAGTTGTAACTACGGAGCCCCCCAGGGGACATGGGAGAAAAAAAAATTACGGAGGAAAAAAAAAAAATTAGGGAGAAAAAAAAAAATTAAGACGGACTTTTGCGAGATCTCGCAAAAGTATTGCGAGCGCTCGCAAAAGTATTGCGAGATCTCGCAATAAGTATTGCGAGCGCTCGCAAAAGTATTGCGAGATCTCGCAATAAGTATTGCGAGCGCTCGCAAAAGTATTGCGAGCGCTCGCAAAAGTATTGCGAGATCTCGCAAAACTCCAACAATGGCGGCAGCTACTTAGTTGTAATATTACTATTTCTGGGTCACAAAATACACTTTTAAGATATTTTGAGGCGTGAATGTAGTTGTGTAAACGTCAGATACCTGCTCGGTTTACAAGACATCACATATTTGCAAAAGAGCTCCGACGTTTTTGGAGATCTGACACCCACTAGCTCGAAGCTAACGGGTGGTCGAGACCTACTACAGCCGGGAGGAACACCGCTTTCCCGGCACATCGTGCCTCGACCTCCCGGTCGGCTTCGAGCTGGCGGCCACTAGCTCGAAGCTAACGGGAAGTCGAGACCTACTACAGCCGGGAGGAACACCGCTTTCCCGGCACATCGTGCCTCGACCTCCCGGTCGGCTTCGAGCTGGCGGCCTCCGAAGAATGCGGCTAAAACTTTTGCGAGATCTCGCAATACTTTTGCAAGCGCTCGCAATACTTATTGCGAGATCTCGCAATACTTTTGCGAGCGCTCGCAAAAAGTCCGTCTTAATTTTTTTTTTCCTCCCTAATTTTTTTTTTCTCCCATGTCCCCTGGGGGGCTCCGTATGTAACATATCCTGGGGTAAAATGTAACACAATGAAATAAGGGTACTAACAAAACATTAACATGTAATCTTTGTTTATTCAACACATGAATGCACTTAGAGCCATTTATGTAGCTCTGTGTGTGTGTGTGACAGAATGCAGAAATCTAGCTTTTGAACATATTCCAACCCCCCAAAAAAGACAAATTATGGAATTTTCTGCAACTGAATATTTCATTAATTTTGGTTGGTCTTCCTTGAGTTTGGCCTCATTGGCTCAGTGGGCATTATAACCTACAACTCTTGCACCAATTTTGAACATAACAATGAAGCTAAAAAAAAAATGTAGATGTTCACCAGCATCGCAATTCCATTACTTTTTATCATGGCTTACCTTGGTGTGGTTTGCAGAGTGCTTCAGAAAGATGAGGAAATCTGTTTCTTGCACCCATCCTGACTTATTCCCACTACCAGTACTTCCTACTGGTCCATCTCTGACACAGTGGTCTGCATAATGTATGTGTTGGAACATAAACAGTGGAGGAATTGTGTTGCCAATGGCATTAACCGCATATACAAAAGCGACCAGTGAACCTCTCTCTGCTGATGTCGTTGCCCCAACTTGTTTAATATAAGTTAAAGTAATAGTGTGGTAAGTTGTAACATCTGCATTATTGTTACAACTGACCCAGACTCCTATAGCCATGAACTAGCTAACATTACAGCCAACGGCTAAAACATTAGCACTAAAGACCTACACAGAATATATCCCCATAGACATACAAATAACACAATGTAAGTTTGATGAGTTTAACTGCAAAGCAGATAATGCTATTAAACATTGAAATAAAGTAGAAAAACTTACTTTTTGGCATACAAATTACTTTTTTTCATGTTAAATTGTCTGTGTTTGACGAAATGTGCTGATTTTTCACATGTGATAGCAGAACTGAATTGGGCATGCACAGGATGAGTCACATCATTTGAAACTTAGCCCTGATTGGAGAAACTGGAAGTGTTACAACTGACCCACGTTATAACTATCCCCGGTCTCCCCTGCTGTTACTGTTAATCTGACTATCTGCAGGTTTTACACGCTTACATATAAACACGCAGTTACTGTCCTTCTATTTAGAAAGGCTGAGGTGTCGGGGTGTGATTATTTTACGTGTAGTTGTTTTTTTAATGTGTAATATTCAACATTGCAATCAATACATTTTTCAAAAAATGCCTCTCTGTGCACAATGGGTTTAAAAACATAAACAACTGTGGGATGCTGTTTGTCCGTGATTTGAAGAGCCCAGTGGTGCTCCTGACGAAGGGGAAACCAATTCTGCAGGGGAGACCTACCTCGTGCAGGTGAAACCAAAGAGCAGACATGCTTCACCATATTCTCTAGTCTTTGGCTTAGAATGAAGTTGGTTTGGAAACATATTCAGCTGTGCTTCATCTCCTGCTTTGCGTTTCTGTGGACGCTAGCCACGCATGCTAGCAGTGTCCAAGCGTTTTGTCCCCCCCCCCCAACGCAATGGCTCTGCGCCCCTCCTAGGGGCGGGCCCCACACTTTGGGAAGGTCTGCTTTAATGTGACAACTTACTGTTAGCCACTCAGTCAGCACTGGCTTTGGGATTGGAGGACAGACTTTGTGCTTGATGCTGTTGGGTTAAAAAATGAATATAAATAAATGGGGGGGAAATGAGAATGAGAAAAAGAGAGAGATTACAATGAAAATAAATGTGCATTGCTTACCATGCCCAGTGTCTATAGCAGATAATTGTGCTGACAGACAGAATAAGAAAAACTGCTCCCAGGGATATCAAGATCAGCATTATCAGTTGATCAGCTGGTGAAAACAATGAATCACATCAAGTAATTCAAAGAAAATGACAAATGTTGACAGTCTTACTAAATAAAATAGTCCATATGGGGAAATAATTAACCTACTCGGGGGATTCAAGGTGACATTGATGGATGAATTACCACAAAGTCCAAATGCTGTTGATGCTGTCACCGTGAAGGTGTACATACTGATGTTCAGGTTCTTTGCAGTGAGGCTGGTGGCTTCAGGATCATCTAAATCAACACAGAGTGACCGCCATTATTACAACATAAATACATGTTTACGATCATCGGGCAACACTGGAGACTTACTTTATTTATCTCAGTTACAAGCTAATCTTTGTGTGTGGAGAAACAAAACCAGGACTTTGTTATCAGTAGAGAAACTTAATAGTGTGATTAAGTGTGTCATCGTCCAAGTGCCAATCAATTTGTAAACAACTCGTCGGCAACATGTTCAGGTTACTGTAAAGGGTGCAAAAAAAATGGTGTCTAAGAATTTGGACATTTTTGGGGTGATTAGTGTGTGTCTGCAATCAATTCAAAAATTATTTTTAATGAATTATTGCATTCACAATCATGTTTAGCCTAAATCTACAGGCTGAGACCTCAAAAGGAGGCTTGTTTTGTTTTTAGACTACCACAAGGGGGCATTGTGTCCATTTGTTAAAACTTGTGTTATTAGCCATTTCCTGATGCAAATACTGGAAGAGGAAGGTCATCATATGCCAGGAGGTAAATACTAACAATGAATTAAACTTCAGCTAACAGAGCACCTATGAAAAAGTGCTGATCCTGTGCTTAATGTCCAGACTGAAATCATAGCTGGCCTGAGTGAGTATGCCTTCATACTGTACCTGTGCTCACGTTAAAAACGTTCCCGCTCTTGTCCTGGTAGTAGAGAATATATCCATGGATGGAAGCAGTCTGCTTTTCCAGAGGTATGGGCTCCCAGGATACCTCAACAGCCGAGTCTTCCTGTTTGTATTTGAGTTTAAACAGCTCGACTCCTATTTCTGGAAAGATGTGACATGCATAAAATACACTGCTGATTGAACCATCGCATTTTGTGAGAAATCACTGAATCAGTCTTACTGGTCTCTCTGATGTAGCCCTTTCTTCTCTGTAGTAGCACCGCAGCTCCCTCAGTGCAGGCGTATATGGACAGCAGGTATCTCCGACCATCTTCAAAGTTCTCTGGAACAACAAAAGGAGCTGTGCTGAAACAGATGCAAATATGATCTGCAACAGTTTTGTAGGCAAAGATGAGGACGTACTTGAAAAAACTGTGGTATGAGTTCTGTTGGGAGGCACTTTCATCCACTCGAAGGTGCAATTACCGAAGACTGGACACCAGTCCACTATGTAGCCACAGCTGGCGTTAGGACTATCAGGCCAGGACAGGAAGAAGCTACCATTGCTGCCACTGATCCAGGAGGTCTTCACCTCGGATGTATCTGAAAAAGACTCTTTAAAATTAGATTTTACAACATACTCCACTTAAAAAAGGAAGAGGTTAAATCAGTATATATAGTTAAACCTTGAGAATTTTTCATGGGTTTTAAAAACAGTTTCATGCACTTTTAAGGCATTTAGCTTCCCTTTGCAGGCCAATAAAATGTGCAAAAATGTACATACTCATCATGACTTGGATATATAGAATATAAACACAACAATTACAAATTTGTATACTTATAATAGATATAATCTCAATCATGTGATCATGAAAACTGCTATTCCTTTTCTGCATTAGTTTGGAAAACCTTTTGCTTACAGCCTTCTGCACAGATTAGATAAAATCAAACCTCTTCCCCAAATGGAAATCAAAGTGAGCTTATCTGTAATGTGTGGTGCTCTGTTAGCTTCATACCTAGATTGCTGCGGGGGATGATGATGGTCGATGGTGATGAGCTGCCGTTTATGTTTCTAGCCGTGACAGTGACCATGTACTCCTCACTGGGGTCCAGCGTGAGTGTAAGGCTGTGATTGCTTCTGGACACGTTGGTTTGGTTTGACTGATTTTTGTCTTTGGTCTTTGCCCAGGACACTTTGTAGTCAAAGATTTCTCCATGGCTCTGATTGGTCAGTGGCACCTGTGGAGACGTAACATCAAGACCTGAAATGGTAACTGTGTCCTCTGAAACATCACTTTCTAACTGTATAAGATGTTGCACTGATATTTTTAAATACGTTTATTAAAATATTTTTTTTTCCCACATAAGTTTATTAATATTTAGTATTGCTTTACAGACTAGCTGTAAGTAAAAGTGTATTTTTTAATTCCACTGGTGACCACTTGAAACTGAGTCAGTTTCCAGACTTAGTGACTTGGACTCACCTTCCAGGAGATTACAGCCTGGTCTGCCTTCACCTTCATCCACACGTCAAGAGCATCTGGAACTGTGGTGCAACCAGACAAACGACATCTGTTACATTCACACATTTTTAAAGTCTTTTCTCTTAAAAAACAAAAAACAAAAACAACTTACCATCACCCTTCGTGCAGATTTTGACACTATTGCTCCAGTCACCCCATTTCCAGAAATGCTGTGATGTTCCACATCGGACCCTCACGTCATAGTCCCAGTGTGGTATCAAGTCCTTGATGACTGCAGCTGTGAGGCCAACTCCAATGTTTTCAGTCTGGTAAACCTACAAGGACAAGAATTATGTTAGCTGACTTCAGTGAAGACTTTTACTTTGAAAAGCCAATACCTTAGCCTCCTTTTTAATCTACTCACTTTGGTATTAGAGTTTCCATCACTGACATCTACTTGGCATGTGATGTTGAGATTACTGTACTTCTTCACAGTCCAGCTCCATTTCAGACTGATGTTTCTGGGTTCACAGTTGAAGCTGCCACTTTGTCTGGAGCAACCATGTGCACTAAAACAAGAGATCACAACAATCAGCTGATCTTAAAGATTAAGAATAGCCTTTTTCCCCTCGTTTTTTCCAAAGTTTTACCTCTTTTGGTCAGGTCCACCCTGTCATGGAGCTCGAGCTTTCCCAGAGGATTAGTGACTGTTAAGGTCCAGTTCCTCTCAGCAGCATCCAGCTCCACTTTTTGCGAGCATTTACCCAATTGATGCATTGGTCCAATGTTGCATGGGCTAAAATGTAAAAATATACACTGCTTAAATATTAACAACAACACAGAGGCACAAACATACAAAACAATATAAAATCAGGAATGGGGGAAAACAGTTTTTCACAAGTCTACTTAGCTGAAAGCAGTGCTGTTGTAGACCATTGCTATCAAGTTAAAGTGCCAAAAATTGCACTTTGGCCATTTTTAACACATCAAGTTAACACATCAAGTTAAAGCTACTGTCAGCTATTCCCTTTTCACAAGGGGTTACCAGAGCAGGTACCCCTGTGTTTTGATTTGGAAGACTTTTATACTGGATGCCTTTCATACTGCAACTGAAGAGGAAATTTGTATCTCTTCCTGAAATCAAACCAGTGGCCTTTATACTATTTAAAAAAAATTGGCCTAAAGTTTTCAAAAATGACCTGTGGAACTGAATCTTTGGCTTGTCTTTATTTGTTGATGCATAAATTCATTATTGCTGTTTCAGTTTATTATCATTTTTAAATTACAACTCACATTAAAAATGATTTTATCCAGAGAAGAAAATAAAAGCCTTTTGGGTGCATCTGACCATCATGTTGACTAAGCCTGATATCAAGCCATTTCCAAAATAAGTCAAATTATCTGTTTTATTATTGATTCATCTTCAATCTAAACACCAACTGCGTACTGTAAGTTTGGGGACTCTGCTACAACAACATAAAACATTTTAATAGATGAAGTTAAATATTACAGTCATGTAATGACATTTGTTGCTTAACTGCGTAACAGGCTTGTCAGATAATTTGAAACAAATCATAGAAATTAAACAAAGTCAAACATGAAAAATGAAAAACCACTAAAGGCAGGTAGGTACCATTCAGATCTACAGATAAGATTAACACAAAAGAGGTTGGCACCTCGAGATTTATCATTTTTACTGTTTCTACTCTTCTGTATGTATGTTACTAACAAGCTGCAAAAATGTTTCAGGAGCAAGGTTATAGCAGCGTGCAGTTATTAAATTATTAATTTTTATTTTAAAGAATCCTGATAGATGTTTGATTCTCTTTGTGACTATTAATCACAGTGAGAATAAGGAAGAAATGCTTTAAAACACACACACACACACACACACACACACACACACACACACACACACACACACACACACACACACACACACACACACACACACACACACTGAAGTCTGGTCAGTTTTAGAAAGACCATTCTCCCACACAGTGAACTTTCCCAGTATGAACTACGGGTAGGTTTTTTTTCCCAGTTTATATTTCAGTGCTTTCAAGGTTTAAATTTGGCAGTGAGCCATGATCTTCCGACCTCTGCTACATTTGAACAGGGGTTCCTAATAAAGTGCCGAGTGAATCAGTGAATCCTTTGAAGTTGTCAGATTACATTTTATTTACTTGTTTATAAGTAAACAAGTAAATTGCTTCCATAGTGAACCCTGTGGTTGTATTATACCTTCCATGAAGCTGGTATTTTCTTCTGACTATGGCAAGTTCCTCCATTTTCCTTCCTATATTCCAAAAACAATCGACAGATTCCAGATCCCGGGTTTCACACTGAAGATCACTGTCACCAGGGGGGTCTAAATTTATAAGACCATAAGAACCAGCAATCTGTATTTAGAAGATAAATTAAAAAAAAACAAAACAAAACCATCATCTCAACCTGCTGCTTCATACTTACAGCCAGCGTGAAAACTGGCTCCACTGATGTCTCCTTTGGTTGTTTCACATATTACATCACTCCAGTTTTCTGATTGTTGTTCCAGGTGGACATTCAGGGCATGCACATGTTCACTGATCTTTTTTTCCATGCCTTTATACCCATTTACATACATTCTCCTGAAACCTTTTCCTTCTGGCACAATGCAGCAGAATGTGGCTCTGCTGCCTACTTCAAGTATTTTATCCTTTGGGAAAACTGATATTTCTGCTGGGCTTTGCATCCCTGCCAAACAACAACAATGAGGCATAATAAGCACAACTGTAAAATGTGTAAGAATTATGAAAATCTAAATGATTTGAATTCAACAATAACCAGGTAGTGTCTTCTGCATCCATGGGCTTGATTGGTTGTTGTATTGGGACCTGAGCCGGACTGAATGGCGAGCACACTGCGATGGTAAATGGGAAGTCCATTTCCAGGAATGAGTAGATCCTATCTCTGCAGGTGCCACAACAACTTCACCCTACAACATTATCATAAACACATTAGAGGAACAGCTTTTTGTTTGGAGGCTACAGAAGTGAGGATTATAGTTACCCATAATAATCTCTTACATTGTGTTCAGGTTTGTCTGCAATGAGAAGCTGCAGCTCGTACACGAGCCCATCTCGTATCACAGAGCAAGAAGGGTCATCTTCCCACTTTAACAGGAGTGTCTGATCGTTGTGGGCAAGAGTTACATTCTGAGGTCCACAACACAACACACCTAAAGGAGAAATTCCATGTTTAAAGTGGAACACTGAACGAGTCTTAAGCTTAAAAACATAATTGTTGGGCTATTTGAACAGCAGTCAGTAAAGACACAGGATAGTGGTGCCAATAGCGTTACACTTTTCTCAGTACCGATGCTCTGTTAAAGCCTCTGGTTTCTAGTAATGTCACCTTTAGTGCTGTTACCTTTATCAGTGGCAATCCACTTCTTGGATCTGATACTACTAGTCATTTCCAAATCAAAACACTCCTTAAACTCATAAAATAAAACAAACACTGAGCCACCACTGCGAGTTAAAAACCAGTGTGGCTTTTCTCCTGGGTGCTACAATAAAGTTTAACACCCTTAAAAAATTACTGTACTGTATACGGTCCTTATATTCCGTGAAACAATATTTGCTCTTCTGCGAACCTAGAACTGGATCTAATATTTGAATCTGCAGCTACTTTTTTTTTTTTTTACACTTTTTCTCTCAGATCAATCTTCTGATTTACAATCTTCTTGACAAGACTGCTCAAAGACATTTTATATCTATTAAAGGATGATACCACAGACCTTTATGGCAGGGTAATTAAACTACTACTTAAAAAGCAGTCACTTGACCCAGCTAATTATTATAGGCCATTTTCTTTTTCAGAAATTCTTGAAAAAGGTTGTTAAACAGCTAATAATTTATCTGCAAAGGAACAATTTATATGAAGAGTTTCAGGTAGGATTTAGAATTCATCACAGTGCAGAAGCTGCTAGGCTACTGCTGACCGTAACATTTTATCACAGGGATTAGAGCACGCTGTAGGTATTACAGGTACTGCACTGCAGTGGTTTGAATTAGTGGTGTGCGGATCGATATTGAAATATCGATTCTTCCGATACCAGTAATTTACAGGGAGTGCAGAATTATTAGGCAAATGAGTATTTTGTCCACATCATCCTCTTCATGCATGTTGTCTTACTCCAAGCTGTATAGGATCGAAAGCCTACTACCAATTAAGCATATTAGGTGATGTGCATCTCTGTAATGAGAAGGGGTGTGGTCTAATGACATCAACACCCTATATCAGGTGCGCATAATTATTAGGCAACGTCCTTTCCTTTGGCAAAATGGGTCAAAAGAAGGACTTGACAGGCTCAGAAAAGTCAAAAATAGTGAGATATCTTGCAGAGGGATGCAGCAGTCTCAAAATTGCAAAGCTTCTGCAGCGTGATCATCGAACAATCAAGCGTTTCATTCAAAATAGTCAACAGGGTCGCAAGAAGCGTGTGGAAAAACCAAGGCGCAAAATAACTGCCCATGAACTGAGAAAAGTCAAGCGTGCAGCTGCCAAGATGCCACTTGCCACCAGTTTGGCCATATTTCAGAGCTGCAACATCACTGGAGTGCCCAAAAGCACAAGGTGTGCAATACTCAGAGACATGGCCAAGGTAAGAAAGGCTGAAAGACGACCACCACTGAACAAGACACACAAGCTGAAACGTCAAGACTGGGCCAAGAAATATCTCAAGACTGGTTTTTCTAAGGTTTTATGGACTGATGAAATGAGAGTGAGTCTTGATGGGCCAGATGGATGGGCCCGTGGCTGGATTGGTAAAGGGCAGAGAGCTCCAGTCCGACTCAGACGCCAGCAAGGTGGAGGTGGAGTACTGGTTTGGGCTGGTATCATCAAAGATGAGCTTGTGGGGCCTTTTCGGGTTGAGGATGGAGTCAAGCTCAACTCCCAGTCCTACTGCCAGTTTCTGGAAGACACCTTCTTCAAGCAGTGGTACAGGAAGAAGTCTGCATCCTTCAAGAAAAACATGATTTTCATGCAGGACAATGCTCCATCACACGCGTCCAAGTACTCCACAGCGTGGCTGGCAAGAAAGGGTATAAAAGAAGAAAAACTAATGACATGGCCACCTTGTTCACCTGATCTGAACCCCATTGAGAACCTGTGGTCCATCATCAAATGTGAGAT